GAATCGTTGATCGAAGAAAGGCAAACATTGAAACGCGCACTTATATATATATATATATATATATACGTAGCGTATAGAGAAGAAGAACAATGAGAACAATGGCGCTGGTTTTTGCACATCCTGTCCGGAAAGCGTCTCGAACTATTCGAACTCGTCGCATCGGGAATTTTACCGATGTAATTCGATTGACGGAAAAACTCGTCCGGAACTCGGGAACAATTAAACCGCTTCATCATTGCGGCCTGTCATCCGGCTGGCCAAGCGTATGGAACGTTTTGTCGGCGAAGGACGGCTAGTCGTTTCGTCTACGATCCTCGTACGCGACAGCTAGCCGATAATATCCCTCTTTGTGCGCCTCGCCTCGCCTCCATCTCTTCGCTCGAACACCGTTTCCTCCGAACCGGCCTTTGCGTAACGAATCGTAGAAACCTTTGGATCGTTCTCTCTTTCAGTTTTGCTGCTTGGCTCACCGGTCACGTTGCTTTTAATTGCACCGGTATCGGGCCGGCGAGAGCCGGTCCAAGGGAGGAGAGGGGCTCGGCCTACGCTTCGAATTGGTTCCAAGGCGATCGTTGTTGGATTGTCACTGGGATGGGATTCCGGGGATTGGTGGAAAAAGGGAGAGAGAAACGATTCGTCTTGCATCGATAACCACGGGGTTTTAGATTTAGCGAAATCATCTTCCTCTCGGGGAGGGGCTAAAAACCGATCGATTCGCTCTCTCTCTATCTCGATTCGAACATTGTCTTAATATTGCTCTTGCCGCGTTTTTGTCCACGATTCGATCCGAAAAAGAGGATGCACCGAGCTTGGAAACGCCCAAGTCTCGTTTCCATTCAGAGTCCAGAGGCAAATGGTCGTGTTGGAAACGTTAGGGAGTAAGTTCGCGAGTATCGGATGTATCGTTGGGGAAAGAATGGCGGCGGGAAAGGAGACCGTTTACGGCGAATTCCTAGAAGCGAGCGTAAGAGTCGGGATCGAGTCCTCATAAATTTATCGATCGTTCTTGCAAAACTCCGCGGAGAGCGGCGTGAACCTACGAGGACAGCGTTTCAGAACTTTTTCTCTCCGCAGAAGTTTTCCCAAGGTGAATGGAAAGCAATCGATCCTATCCTCGATACCGCGATCCCTGGTATTATCATTTCGATTTCCCTGGTATCAAACCCTGGATTCAAAGGGCAATTTTCTCCATTTCCATTTCCGTGGAAGAGGAGAAGGGAACTTGGAATTCCATCGGTGCACACCGGACCCCATAAAGCTCGACTCGATAATTACGATCGTAAGTTGGACACNATCGAGTGGCACGATCGCCGTGAATAGCTGTGGATCGCGATCGAGCGACGATCGACGGGGCCCGCGCGAAGTGAGTCGTACACACTGCTATGAATCGCGGGTACGTGCAATGATCCGAGCCGGGTCTTAAAGCGCCACTAAACTTGCGCGTCACGTTCCTTTTAATTACGTCTGCCAGCGAGGACGGATGCGAGATGGGCGGGGAGGGAGGGAGGGTGGGACGGCAGAGAATTCATTAAACGATACTCTGGAACGAGCGAGTCCGAGAGCTGTTGTACCAGCTAGGACAGAAGTGGGACAGGTGGCTGGTATCGTATCGTATCGAGAAACCGCGACTTGGACGGTGCGCGATATCGACCGTCTCTGAAATGGGAATTTTTTCCTTTTCTTCCTCTTTTTGTGATAGTGCAGGTGTCTGGTACGGGATTCGACGAAACTTGTATCGACGGAAAGATCGTTTCCTTATTTTCTTTTCTCTTGTAAAACTTTTGACATATACGATCCTTCTTTTCCAAATTTTTCCACAGATCTCTCGAAACTCGTCCAGAAAAAGATCGACTTGTTAAAACAGTTCGCGTGTATATAACGTATATCTTGGAATATGAATGTATATTCGAGTCGAAATTAAATCATTCTCCTTGCGTTCGAGAGGAAATTCTCCTACCTCGGGGGGACAAGCTCGTATTGCAATCGAACGTTTAAATACCGTCGGAAGGTGGTAGCACGTTGCCCTGCCTATAACAGAAATCAATTAAGAGGTCGGAAAATTTATCGCGGGACTATACAAGACCGGCTTACAGGAACCGTTTCTCAATACCGGCCAGCCTTCGCGCTGTCCCGCGGCGTGTCGCGATCCCCGCTCGCAATTATCAATTCTAATTAACGATCGTCGCGTTTCATTATTGTTTTTAATCACCAGTCAGCCTCCCCGTTTCTCTTTTAAATCACCGTTAATGAAACTATCCACCAATCTTTTCTTTCTTTCCAACTGGATCGCCTTCCAGTCTCGCGAATCGCTATTAAATGAAGGAAACGACGTTCCTGCTCCTCTTCCTCTTCTACCATCTCTGTATCGCTCTGAATCGATGCTCCATTCGAGCTCACCGTCGATAATCGTGCGTTTCATCGTTAAAATGGAAAATAAAAAGGGAGGTTAAAGAATCGGAATGGGTAACAAAATGGGCGAAAGAAAGGATGCGGAAGATCAGAGGTATGGCGAGAGGTTTGGCCGATTTTCCATCGATTAGATTAAATCGCGACGCTAACGATGAGAAACGTAGGAATGGATCGGGAATATCCTTTGCTATCCGTGAATCCGTTGCGTATTAAAATATTAGCCTTCTCGTTGGCCTCCCGTGCGGAGAGAAATTAAACGCGCAATTAAAGACGATCGCCACGGGGGGAGTTCCGTATGCAGCGAGGGAAATATCGGGAATATTGTGGTGTGGTTCACGTGGGAAATCTGATAGAATAGATGTGCGCGCACGCTAAGGAATTTTCGAGCGGATAACTGCTTCCTATATGAATATCGTCTTTCCTTTTTTCTTCACCACGAATGGGATAAGATCGAGAGGAACGATTCTTTTTTGCTTCTAATTCAATGATTCTTCCGTGTTCGCGGAAGATATATATGGCACGGTGTCAACAAGGATACGTTCCTATTTTACGCTTCGTATATATGTAACATTCTGTTCCTCCAGGTACGAAAAAAGAAATATAAGAATAAGCAACAAATTTACGATCCTCCACGTTTCGATACGAGATCCTTCCTTCGAATACTCATCGAACAATTCTCCTCATCGAAACTACCGCGATGAATCGATATTTTTGGATATCAATCTCTCCAAGATCCTCCGTTTCCGCGAATCTAATCCAATCGTCACGTAGGACAAGCAGAAACGATTCTCGGGCCAAGCCTCGCTCTCGTCGCGTTTGAATTATGACCACGGCCATTACTCGGGACAAACGAGGCTAAGTGTGTCGACACGGCCTTCCCGACTTCTCCACTCGCGGCCATTCACAGTTTCGTCGTCAGGGATCGTCTTGGTTATCTTCGTCTCCAACTCGTGTTCGCATCCAATCGAGATGGACGTTTTGTCCAATACGACGGCGAGGGGGAGGCCGAGCAAAGGCCCAGATTCGAAGGTAATTTACGTCTTTCGCTCGTTAGTTATCACGCCGCGGCTGGATGAGTTCCGCGGCTGTGTTTATTCGCGGAAACGCGGCCGGCCGACGAGTGAAATGTCATTCGGGGAATTAAGATCTCTTCGTCTCTCCATTGATGGCCACCTGTCCCTGCCGTGATTTTCATGTCGGCTACTTTTTTGCCGCGAGCGGAATATTACGCGCTGGAAAAAAGTTGGTTCGATTACCGGTAAATTAAGTATACATCTTGCGATCACTATGTATATATATGTATATATACGGAAAAATTGGAAGATTTAAAATTGGATGATTTTTTGAAAACAAAACGGAAATTGTGTAATTTGTCGAAAATTATGCACTTACTGAACTTGTAAAAATTTATAAACTATTTTCGATATTTTATATATATTATCTTTGTCCGAGAATGTTGCGCGTAATGTAATTTTTCGTCTTCTGGCCGCAAAAAGTTTGAAAGGACAATAAATCGAATGGAGAACGATCGATGGATCGTGAAAAGTGTAATAGTTGTTCCAAGGTTGCAGAAACAGAAGCGTGAACATTAATGGCTTCGGAAAAGCTCACGTTCGTCCGGGTGCCGTTTTCGTCATAATAGTCCCGCCTATAGAGGCCGAGCGTACGTACGTCCTCTTAACTGTCGTGGCTCGTTACTTACTTCGTCCTGAGAACAAAAAAAGAAAAAACACACCGGTTAAAAAAGCATGATCGTGGACAAGCATTTCATTAATAATAATCAATTATCCGTTTCTCGCGTGGCCGAGAGTCGCTTCGTTTCTCGCGATAAAACGAGGGAAAAGGGAACGGGGGAATTTATCGCGTACCTCCTATCGGCCCTAACGTCAATTAACGGAACGGACGATAATGATTTACGATTGGCCGCGTTTCGCCCCGTTCCATCGGGAACGAGTCGGATTCCGCCACTGCGTTTTTCCATCTAAACGGCTCGTTTCATTCGCGGTGAATACCGATCGTGAAAATAATAATGGAGAACGATCCTTCTTCTCTCGTTGCAAAAAATTTTCTTGCCAAAATATTCGACTCGAATTATCGAATATAAATATTCTGGAACCATTACGTATAAAGATTCGATTGCGCGAATGTTGCTCCATATAAATCCTTGGGGCGTAGCACGAATCTAGCAGAGAATTGTCGTCTAGCAGGGAAGAATAATAACGGAACGGTTCGACGGAAACCGTGGGACAACCGGTAAAAAATGAGAGACACAGCGCGGATCGGCGTCGATTTTGTTCCACGCGATCGCGGCCGCTCACATTTTTACACGGCAACTCGTTAACTCGCGTGTAATACGCGGGGCAATCGTGGAATCGTACGAAAAGTCAGTCGTGATCCCATAACCATAAATAATGACCATTGATTGGTCACTGTGGCCGATCGTTACCCGCTGCTACGTGACTGCGTTTACGTTTCCACGGGTCGTTACTTCGTTTCCATTAAGGCGCGGTTCCGTTCGTCTCGCTTCTGTTCGTTTCCCTCCATTTTGTCCCAGACCGGCCACCGCAGCCGATATAGATTCGATAGAACGTGGCCGTTCCTTTGGAACGCAATTTTTAAAACGGCCGTACACGTTTATACGCGTGTAAACGCGCCCATTCCACGACACGTCTCCCGATTTTATAAGAGTCTTCACGAGTCTTCACGAGCCGAGGAGTCGTTTATCTCGCCAATTCCACCTGGAATTCGCTCGACAACTCTTTAATCTCGTTTCAATTTTATCGTCGCGATCCGTTCAAACTTTTCGTATAATCTTGCTGCGAGATCTCTCTTCGAGGTAATCGAATAAATTAAGCCGATGCTTGGCTAATTTGAATTTAACGGGCTGATAAAAATCCATTTTGTCTTATCGTAAATTTACCCATTAGCTAGAGGTAAGGGGGAAGGGATTTATCGGAAATTAGTCGAAATATTCTAAAAATTGACGAAAGGATGGATTATCGATCGGAAGAGTAAAGTTAGTTTAAAAGATCGGGCAGCTTAATCGTGTCTTCGCTTCGAGGCTGCCAATTTGATCGCGGAGGCGAGCGGATATTTGTTTATGCGTGAGAGGGGGACGATTCCAATCGCGAGAACCATTTCGCAGTTTAAAGTGGGCAGATGGTTAGCGGCGCGGGCATAATACATTAAGAATGATGATGAATAGAAATTCGTAAATAATATATTGCTCGAAAGGACGATTAATGATTTCATTCCTGGCTCTCCTCTTCTTGGAGCCGGTTCTTCCGGTGCGTGAAATCGACTACGAACCACCTTCGACGATTTTCTGCGTGCCTTCCTCCTTATACACGCGTGTTAAAAAAGTGGAAAAAAGAAATCCTTTCTTCTTTATATATTCTCCAATCTTTTATTATTTCGAATCTTTGAATTTTTAAACTTTTCTTCAGAATTTCTTTCGAAACGGTGATGATCGGAGTGAAAAATCGTGTTCGAGGCAATGTTTTGACGCAGTTCGATCAAGCAGGCTGACGCGCCTGAGCGTTAAAAATAGACTGTATCATTGAAATCGATTGGCCCGCGGCTCAAGAACGTTGATCTTTCGTCGCCGTATGCGATATTCATCGTTCCCGCGGCGAGATAACAAAGATATAAGATAAAAGAGCGACCCGGTTATCCCGGAGCGAGCACACAATCGTTCACAATTCACAATCGTTACACGATGTTCAACATCGTTCCGATCGATGCATGTGCCACCAACCGCTGCGAAATGCTTCGATCGTTCTTGTTTATTAATTATTACGTTAAAACTGGAACGTTATCGTCCAACGAATCGTTACAATATCGATCCCCTTATCCGATCTCTATCCGTGGCGTTCGATGAAAAGATATCAATATCGCTAAACAATCGTACTTCTATTCAAATTATCCTTGTTCATGCTACATTAAAATTAATCCAATCATTCGACGCGAGGATTCTTATTAATCCTTTATCTCCAATTATCTTTCGTTTGCTTTTTGGAACGATAGAATTATCAAAGATATTCTATTTCTTGAGAATTCAATATAACAGAATCGCGTTATTTCGACATCGAAAATTCTTTTATTGTTTCACGCGATCGAACTGTTCCTTTATATCCCATGGCGGAACGATTTCTAAATCATAATGCATAACCGTGCCGATATCGTCGATCATGCAGTTCGAGTTATCCAGCCAAGATATTAATAACCATCATCTGTAGCGATTACGGTTCTCCATGAACGATGAATAGCTGTCCATTCGACGTCGACCGATACCCGTTCCCACGATAACGCAAAACGTCGTTTTCAATAATCCTAACGTTTAAGGGCGTTGCTCACCGTTCGAGATCGCTCGTTTATACCATCCTGGGCCGATGACGGATTTTGAATTGTATATTAAAGCGGATAAACCTCCTTTTTCCAATATATTCGCACGCGTATCGAGTGACAAGATAAGCCTAGGATGGTAATCCTCTCTTAAAGTGTATCCTGAAATTGGAAATTTATACGCGAGAGGCGAAATTATTCGGATGAAACTATCCGAATAATATATACCGGTTATATAACAAGATTTAGATAAAATGGGAGTTTAATTATTAAAGAATTTCATGAAAAAAAAAAAAAAAAAAAAAAAAAAAAAAAGAAAAAAAAACTCAAAAGTCTTTATTTCTTGGTGAATAGCGATTAAACGTAATTACGATCTGCGAATGCACAAACGAGGCTTGAGAACGGGTCGTTAACGATTCATTTACACAGGCTAACGCAGAGATTTAAAATAGTTAACCGCATAGGATGCGAGATAAAAATGATTATTACGATAATGGAAATGCATAAAGTGATGCAACTCGCGTCGTACGTACGAGCATCGACTTTATAAATCGAATTCTGTGGACGAACGTGGACAAATCAATTAACCGCTTCGTCGTTAATTTGAGTACCTCATAACGCGATGCATTTACTCGTGACGTGTACACGTGTCGTCTGGCCATTTAAGCGCGTTTACAATTACAAATCGTGCAGGAGACACCGACATGCCTGTTGACGGCATGTGTTGCTCGCGCTTTCGCTTTTACGGAAATCTATTAGGTTATTCTATAAATAATATACGTTCTGAAAAACCACTTGTTGTATCATTAATCCACGATACACATCTTTTCCCCTTATATTTTAACACCTTCGTTCTTCGCAATTCTTTTAAATGATCCACGATTATTCTTCAAAAAAAAAAAAGTAAAAATGGCATCGATACGTCGTTCTCTCAAAATCTCAAAAATATAATAAATAATACAATACAGAACCGAGTGGAACATGAAACGCGTTGTGAAACTCGTTCGTTGGCGATCGATTGAGATATTTGGACGATCCTTTCTAATACATAAGCACGCCGCGCTTATAGGAGAAAGAGAGAGACTTCAAAGAATACAACGGGCGATATTTTGGATCATGGCCATTTGGATGTCAAAATCGCAGTCGGTCGATGGTCCTGATGGCTCAATCGAGCTTTTCGATAAATAAATACCTTCTTCGTTTGAACGTCTATTATTGTTAATTAACCGGTTCCGTCTAATAGGATTAGCATGCAATAAATCACCTTTATTTCGCGCGATATTGCATTACGATCGTGTTCCAGGTACATACATAAGCAAACGTTATAACGTTTTAATGAAAACGTTTGGAAGAATTGTATGGAATCATCGAAATAGTTATATAATTAGAAATGGATACAGCTTGATTATGATGCACGTGTGCTCCGATCGACAGACCAGATTTTCCACGTGTGCTATTACGTACGAATCGATCCATGAAATCACGATGGTTAAATGGAACCTCACGAACCTCACTATTCTCTTATTTTCTGTTATTTCGCGAGAAAAGATCGGTATCGTCTCGTTCGATTTCGACAAAGAGAAAACAAACATTTTCAAATTCACATTGAAAGTAGACTCTAAATCAATAGCCACTCCTTTCTCTAATTCACGCTTACGGCCTCGAAACTACTCTAATTTTATCAGCCGAAAAACTACTCTAATTTCATCTAGGCTCGTTCTACTCGATCCTACTTCGACTTATAGATCCTTCCGCGGAAGTCGTTCGAAATAGGAGGAATAACTCAGAACGAATATCGATACGCGTTCTCGAGTGATTAGGAATTAGCCTCTCCTCTATGAAGCCACAGATCCCCTCTGAAGAGCTCAAACATTTTCCACGAATCTCGCGAATGCATCTACTGCGCGTTTCACTTTCCCTCAACCGAGGACCGACTTATCTGATCCCGGCGTCAGGTCAATAGTATAGGAATGCGGTGCAATTAGTATCTCGTTAGACAGTGCCGACCAGCTCTAATTCCTCAGTTTCGCATTAGAAACGTCATCCTGTCTCTAAACGTTCCCTCTTCGACCTCTCCTTCCTTCCTTCCCCTCGCCCTCTCTTCCAAACGCATTCGATTTTCGCACGCGAATCAAAGAATTGCGCTATCTCGAAGCTACGAAAGTTCGATCGAATTTCTCGACGAGAAGCGTTCGAGGTTAACGAGAGGAGAGGGGAAGCAGGAAAGGCTGAAATATCCCGGCAAGTGTTGTTGGCCGTCTCGTTACCTATCTTCATCTTCACCGGTGCTAAAATTTCGCTCGTACTTCGCGCGGTACCTCGCTCGACACGTTCGAAAATATAACCTCACCCGAGAGGATCAAT